AGGAGGTGAGTGGGGGATGGGAGAGGAAACTTGGCACTGTGTTTTTCCATTTATTTGGAGTTACTGAGTGCAGGGCACATCCCAAAGGCATTTTGGTTTTATTGAATCACCTTAGATGTTAATGCCTGATTCTATTTATGTTTACTTAGAGATAAGTCTGATCGCAGGGGTGGGCAGATTTCATGTTTTGGTGTGTTGTTTTGGGGTTTTTTACTAGAACCATGGGATCCAACAGCCAGGCCCTGAAGCCAAAGACTGTTCAAGAGTAACAGATTGGAATGAAGTTCATGGTCCTCCTCCCACACTCCTTGCCTCAAGTGCTTTTAATTTCAGCAGTATAATTTAAGCTCTGGATGTGCTGTACCTTTAAAATGCATTTGAAACATAGCCTTTATCTCAAAGTGTTGTGGGCGCTGTAGTTTGCCCAGCAACTCTTAACAAACTACAGAATTCATTAAGGGGAAATATTGTGCTTCAAATATGCTTTAAAAGTATAGTGTTTGCACAGCTATAGTTGCTGCTACTGTTTGACCATTTAGCATCAGAAATACTTGCTAATCTATGGCAAATCATTCTGAAATCTACCCATCAAGTAACTAGCTGTGGGCTACAGCTAGGTAGGTCATAACGGCACTATCTTACTGTGAAGAAAGCCCCATTCCATTCAATGGGGCTTACTCCAGTGTAAAGTGTCTACAGAATTGCTGTGTAAGGGCTGCTACAGACTGGGGGATTTTTGCATATATTTTCTGCAACATATCATTGATGCAATGATAGTGCATGAGTGATGGATTTATACTGGACTGTCCACGCATTATTAGCTGTTCTGAGATGCTTCTCTGATGTTACTGCCTTATTGCCATCTCGAGGAGAGCTATTGAACTATGGCACAATGAAAGCAGGACACAAAGAAAAACCTGGAACATTTGTTGGTATAAAAAGTGACAGGATTGCAGCAGGACATGCCCCGAAGTGGTATGTTTACTGCAAAACTTTTGCAGCCACAAATTGTTTTGAATGCAGGATTGTGTATAACCACCCCAATACCATCACGAGTGCAAAATATTCCTGAATGCATCGTAAAAGGGCCCTAAATCACTCAATAGCAGAATCTCCTGGAAAATCCTTGAAAGCCACATTGCAGGAGCTGAAGTCCTGAAGTGATTTCCTTATTCAAAGTCCCCCACAAAAAAAACTTTATTTTTGAAAGGAATGGCAAACACTGGCTATATGCTTCCTTCACTCACCCACCCCTTCCCTCTTTCAGAAACCCTGACACATTTTCATGCCGTGGGGTGTACCCGTCTAACTTAGGCAAGCCTTAACAGCTCACGTTTCACTGTTTTGTCTGTTAGCATTATAGACCACGTTTCTCCGCGGCTTGTAGTAGGGGGTTTTAAAAGAAAAGGCCTCAAATATGAGTTTATATACAGTGCCAGATTTTGTTAAGCACATGAGAGGATTCCCATGCCAATTTATAACTAAGTGTCCCTCCTGGCTGTGTCTGTTAGTCTCCCTGGAACAGCCAAACCTACAGATCACTGTAAACGTTAATCTTCTTATACTTTCAGGTATCAGGTTCCCTTTGATGTTACCAAACATGTTGACTCCTATCTTGGTTGAATGTGCAATCCAGACATAGTTAGCATTAATAATGTTTTGTCTACATCGTTCTCACTGAGTGACTAACAATATAGATTTGCTTCCAAAACCACAGTTCTCTGGTATTTTCATAAAGTCGTCTCTAGAGCTAATGCAGTTTGTTTCCTATCTTCTGCTTTTGTTGAGGTGCATAGATACATCACACTTTACTGGGGAGGGGATCATTTATGTCTTTTACGGGGCAATCCAATCTGTGTCTACTGAGAAGTAAATATAGGATTTAGGGATGGATGAATCTGTCAATCTTAGCTTCTCTGTGTTTCCCCTCCCCCCCATCACAGATTCAGTTCTACACATTCCCGCAGCAATTTAGTGCAAATTTCTCCCATCATGTGGTTTCATATGTAGTTTTGATTAATATACATATTTTTGCAAATGATTGGGGCTCAGTGCTCCCTTAAGTTTGATACGTAAACTTGCTCTCAGGTAAACACTTAGGAGCGAACATCCACTCCCATCCATAAACTTCTCTGGGAAAAGAAGAAAATTCTTTATTCTCAATTACTTGATCATTCATGAGAACTGCTAATTAACAAGCAAATGTAAATAGTGATAAATTATGCTCAATTTTGATGTTTTCCATTTAGCAGAGTATTAAGTTGCAAGTGATATAGTGCACACTTTAAGATCTCGTTAATTTTGATGCCATAATGGATGAGAATTCCTAGAGGAGTTTTTTAAGGCCAGAAATATGAATGGTATTAGCTCAACAGTTATATGATTAAGCAGTAAGACCTGCTGAGGCAGGCAGTACTTGGGCATGATTGACGACTGTAATTGATTGACGTGCAGAGGTAAAGCCAAGGGCACCGATTTACTGGCTGGGTCAGTCATCTCATGGCTGTGGCCAGTTTGGGAAGGCTTATTACTCTACTGATATAGTGAGTGTTATTAGAAGCTTTTAATGTGTTTTTAATGCTAAAGTGGTAAATTTTAACTAGGGTGAATCTTAAATAGGTCAGTGTGAGATTGTCGGGATTGGAAAATATTCTGATACTTTGGTAATAAAAGATCCGATTATTATTTTTTGTTGGGCCTCTTCTGTGGTGGCACCCCAATTCTGGAACACCCTCCCTTAGGCAGTTTGACAGGCACCAACTTTACTATTTTTCAGCACCAGCTCAAAACATATCTCTCTGTCCAGCAATCTAAAATAGATTTTACTGTCTCTGCCTGCTTTATAATTTTGTAGCTATGTTGCTTCTCAGTTACCTTACTATGAAGAATGTGTGGTGTTAATGTGATGTTTTATTACATTGCGTTTTGTTGTTGTTGCACACCTCCCTGGAATCTGTGAGGATGAACTTGAGATTGTCCTGAATCTTATTTAAGAATGATATCCTCTTTATTCAAATAAGCAACTACTAAAACTAGACAGCATCTTAAAAAGCAGAGACATCACCTTGCCAACAAAGGTCCGTATAATTAAAGCTATGGTTTTCCCAGTAGTGATGTATGGAAGTGAGAGCTGGACCATAAAGAAGGCTGATCGCCGAAGAATTGATGCTTTTGAATTATGGTGCTGGAGGAGACTCTTGAGAGTCCCATGGACTGCAAGAAGATCAAACCTATCCTTTCTTAAGGAAATCAGCCCTGAGTGCTCACTGGAAGGACATATCATGAAGCTGAGGTTCCAATACTTTGGCCACCGCATGAGAAGAGAAGACTCCCTGGAAAAGACCCTGATGTTGGGAAAGATTGATGGCACAAGGAGAAGGGGACGACAGAGGACGAGATGGTTGGACAGTGTTCTCAAAGCTACCAGCATGAGTTTGACCAAACTGCGGGAAGCAGTGGAAGACAGGAGTGCCTGGTGTGCTCTGGTCCATGGGGTCACAAAGAGTCAGACACGACTAAACGACTAAACAACAACAACCATGATGGCTGTATATACTGCCTCCAGTGTTTGAGAGTATTTGCCTTTGAAGACCATTTCCTGAGGATCGCAAGTGGAAATATTGCTGTTGCACTGATGTCCTTTTTTGTGGGCATCTGTTTGGCCACCATGCATACAGGATACTGGATTGTATGGGTCACTGGTCTAATTTAGCAATGGAGAGAAAATGAAAAGAGTGTGTGGGAAAGTGGCTAAAAGTGCAAATAACATACAAAATGTGTGGAAATATAAGGAAAACTGCTTGCAAAAATATGTTTATTAGAGGTGTATATTAAAATAAATGTGCACTAAATTGTTGCTAGATTCTTGTGGGTGTACAGTTCCTATTTTTTTTTAAAAAAAATGCAAATTTGTGAAGAATTATGCTGGCTGAACTCAAGACTGGAAAAACTGAGAAGCAGAGAGAACTGAAATTTGCAATTTTACCCCTCCCTGTTCGTTCTTATGCCAGTTTCATTTTCAAGCTGTCCCCCTTCCTCATTCACAGCACAGGAAGAAGAAAGATCTATATTCTAATTATACGGCTCCAAGGGAGGACACACTTAAAGGAGGTCAAGGTCGAGAGGCTTGTTGGCATCAGAAGCCTAACGCCCTGCTACTGAAGCATCGCTTCACACTCTCCCACTGATGTATCTTATTGCAGCTCCCTGCCCTCCTCATTGTGCAAGATAACAAGGAAACTAAGAGGAGGCAGAGACAATAATAGTATGAAATATTGATGGACTCTTACATGAAACAGTCCATAGATCCAGCTGAGGCTCTTGTTCTTCCTGAATTGAAATCTACCAAACGGACCTCATTCCAAGGTAAAAATAATCATTTTTTTAAAAAAAAAAAATCTACAGGGGCAGGTGTTTGTTGCATACCTTCCCCACACTTTCTTTTCTTTAACAAAGTTCTGATCATCACCATATAAAAACCTATATTAATGTAAGAAGTTGTGTGATGTGTCTTAAAAGAGGAAGGGCAAGGTGTTGCAACCAACTAAGTTCTGCTTGGAGTAAACCCATTGAAATGAAGAGATACAAGTTAGTTCATATCCATAAATTTAAATGGGTCTACTCAGAGTAGAACCCCCACCGGATACAGCTGAATGTGCCCTGAAACCTCATTTATCAAAGTCATGAGGGGGAAACCTAAAATTAAGGGTTCCGTCTCATATTTTAGCGAGGGTGAAGAACCAACATCAACAAGAGAGCCAGAATAGTGATATGGTGGTTAGAGTTGTGGACTAGAACTTGTGAGACCAGGGTTCAAATCCCTTTGGACCAGACACTTCCTCACAGCCTAACCTACCTCACAGGATTGTTGTGAGGACAAAAATGAGAAGGAGACATATTTATGCCACCTAGAGCTCCTTGGAGGAAAGATAATAATGTGATAGATGAATAAATGCATCCATTAAGAAAAGTCCTAGAAGACCTGCTCCCTGCCTTGCAGGCCTTTTTCCACCTTCCCTGGGAGGACAGGGCCCTGTCTGACTCCAGCCACCCAAAGCTGAGGCTGCTGAAGAGGCCAGAGACCATCCTGGCTGTCTTTTAGTGCAGACCCAGGTCATTGAGCCTGAGCTTCCACAGCTGCCAACCACCATGAACCCCCATTGGCAGGATTGGCAGCAACAGTAGCAGATATGCTCTATGCTTATGATAATGTTTATTTTCTTGTTGATTATGCTGTTATAAAAGTGCACTTTATATTTGACTTCCTCTAGTCATGTTTTCTTTTGAAATGTTTAAGAAGAGAAGAGTTTGGATTTGATATCCCGCTTTATCACTACCCGAAGGAGTCTCAAAGCGGCTAACATTCTCCTTTCCCTTCCTCCCCCACAACAAACACTCTGTGAGGTGAGTGGGGCTGAGAGACTTCAAAGAAGTGTGACTGGCCCAAGGTCACCCAGCAGCTGCATGTGGAGGAGCGGAGACGCGAACCCGGTTCCCCAGATTAGGAGACTACCGCTCTTAACCACTACACCACACTGGCTCTCTTAAGGTATTGCTTTAGCCAACTTTGCTGCATTAAATGTACATTCTGTAGTTGACCTCCTTCGTAATGTTCTGTTTTGAGATCTTGAAGGTAATGTTTTTCTTTTATGTTAATTATTTTGCTTTGAATATATACTTTATAGCTGACTTTCTTTATTCTTTGTTCTTCATTCTTCATTGTTTCATTTGATCTTTTAATATATTGTAAACTGATTAGAATTTTTTTTTCTTTAAAACATAAAGTGGTATTGAAATGAAATGAATAATAATAATTGTTCCACCCACTTTTGATATTGCTTCTTTCTCCACCTTCCACTGGCATGTGGCCCCTGGAAGGTTGCCTATGAAGAAATGTGGCCCTTTGTCTGAAACAGACACTCTACCCATTGTGTAGACCAGTGATGTCCAAACTTTTTCCAAAGAGGGTCAGATTTGATGAAGTGAAGGTCCGTGAGGGCCGACCAAAGGACCGACCAAAGTTGTTAGCCTTTTTTTTAGGATTGAAGTTGTTGAGGGTTTTTAAGGATTTTACCCCAGAAAATGAACTGCCACAGGGGCCGGATTAAACTGACCAGCGGGCTGGGTTAGACCCCCGAAATGGACTTTGGACATGCCTGGTGTAGACAATACTGAACAGATAGACCAATGGTCTGACTAAGTAGACAACTTCCCACGCTCCTGTGTCTGAATAACACAACATTCTTCTGCAGGAAATGTGTTGAAGGGGATGGAAGTGTTTAAGGGAAACAGTTGAACCTGTGACAAAGGCAAATGGGAAAAATATATGAAATCTGTCTTCTCATTCATTCTCTTCTCTTCCCTCACCCCCCCACCCCACCACCTTCTTCTTCTTTTGAATTGGATTGAAACCGCTATCATGAAGAACATGTCTGATTGGATTGAGATGTCCCCATCACGGGAAGCAGGCAAGGCCTGATGCCCCAATAACAGAAGCTGCACAAGCAATTTAACATGTGGCTTCAATCCAATTCCCTGAGCGATTCCCCCTCTTTGTGTGTGACAACAAGACAAAGTGTTGCATGTGTAGAATCGCAGGAGGGAATAAGGAGACGCACCGGTCTGAGCAGCTGGAACAACTCGTCTGTAGCTTAGTAGCAGATCATTGGGCTTGGAGTCTGCAGAACCAAATCTAATCCCACCATTTTCCCTCCCATTTAAGAATTCTGTATTTATTGCTTGGTGTTTCCGTTTGGCTAGAGAGGGGTGTTAAATGGCGTTCTGCCAAGTTTTCAGAACATGGAGAGTATTAAAGGGAATCTGTGTTATCCTTAAGCAATGGGAAGGGCCATAGCTCAGTGGCAGCGCATCAGCTTTGCATTCTGAAGGGTCCAGGTTCAATCCCCAGCATCTCTAGGTAGGGCTTGGAATGCCCCCGTCTGAAACCCTGTGGAGCCACTGCTAGTCACTGTAGACTGCTAATGACATCAGATGTGGGCAGGTAAAAAGATGACTGGGCTAAAAAAGGGACTTCTTGAAGTACCAACAACTGGTAGCACTTCAAAGCACAGTGCAGAGCTCTCTGTGAGGGGAGCCCTGCTTTGAAGTCCCAGCAATCAACTGGTTGCAGGGGCTTCAAAATGTCTCATTGGCTGAGGTTATTGTGCCCCACCCACCAGTCAAATTTATCCACAGAGGAGTAAGGGAGATAAGGATCTGACTCAATAGCCAGAATCAGTACCCACATTCATGTTGTAGTCAATCCTGATCTAGGTGAATATAGAAACATAGGAAGGTGTTTTACATTGAATCAGACCATTGGTCCATCTAGCTCAGGGTTGTCTACATCAGAGGTTCTCAACCTGTGGATCCCCAAATGTTGTTGGACTACAACTCCCATCATCCCTGAGCTCTGGCCTTGCTAGCTAGGGGTGATGGGAGTCATAGTTCAACAACATCTGGGGACCCACAGGTTGAGAAAGGCTGGTCTACATTAAGAAGCAGTGGCTCTCCACTGGCCATTGCCCATATCGGCTGGGGCTGAAGTGATCTGTAGTCCAGCAACATCTGGAGGGCACCAAAATGTCTACCCCTGATGTACACCAGTGAGCAAATCTGCTGCAGAACATTCTATAATGGTATGCCAGAGGTGATAAAGAAGAGGAGCAGAATGATAGAATGATGCATCCATCATGGGACTTTGGAGGGGAGTGCAAAAGACTTGGAACTGGGTTCTGGTTGACCCAGCCCCTGCCAAAGCCAAGAAGGAATGCAAGTGGGACCAAGGCCACATCTACACCATACCATTAAAGCACATGGCTTCCCCCAAATAATTCTGGGAACTTTGGTTTAATAAGGGTGCTGACAACTGTAGCTCTGTGCGGATTAAGCTAAAGTTCATGGGATATTTGAGGAGAAGACATATTTTAATGTATGGTGTAGATGTGACCCAAGTCTCCTTACAAGTCAAGACCAGGAAGCAAGTCTGTCATGGAAGCTTTTGCAGAGGCCAAAGTGTATCATCTTACCTGTTGTAACCTACTGGGAAAAAGACCGAGACTACATTGAGTTCTTTCCCTTCCTTCCTTTGGCCAGAGTCTTTCCTACAGCTCATTCCATTGGTTGGTCAGTTGCTTTGGAGGACAAGGTCAATGGTGGCTATTAGTCATGGATCAGAGGTGGTATACCACTGAATGTCAGATGCTGGGGGCAAAAAGCAGAAGCTCCTGAATTTGCAGGAGGGTGGCATGCTGTAGCTATAAGGTCCTGCTTGCAGGCTTGGCTACTGTGAGAACAGGATGCTGGACTAGATGGGTCTTTGAGCTGATCCAGCAGGGCTCTTCTTGTGCTCATACGTTCATATTCATGTTCTGCTTAGGGCTTTTGATAGGCATCTGATTGCCTATTGTGGAAAACAGAATAGGTCCCAGGACATGGTTTGAAAGCACATGAGGCCACTAGCTTCCTAGTGCTGATCAAGTCTGAGTCTGATCAGTGCCAGGGTGGGTGCATCTCTAGGAACCACTTGTATGCAGTCTTGGGTTTTATGATGGAAGAAAGATAGAATACAAATACAAGAAAAGAACTAAGCAAGTACATTAGCTAGGCCTTTTATCTGATCCAGCAGGGTTCTTACAGTACATGAGCTGAATCTGCTGCCTTTTAGGTCAAGAGATGCTGCAGGTGCAAGTCTTGACATGTGCCGAAAGCAAGTGTGTGGAAGGCCGGAGGAAGCTTTTCCATCGGTGCATTCAAAAGCCCTGAGAAACACCTGTAGCCTCTTTCCATCCTTATCCGCTGCTCAGCTAGCTGAGCTGAAGAAACTCTCTGATCATCTATTAATCTCTTTTGTTGCTCAGAAGGCACCGCAAAGGCTTCAGCCGTGGAAGCTGTCTAATGATTCTCTTAAGATCAAAAGGCAGGTGTCATAAAGGTTATTAATATTTTCCAAGTAAAATAGTGTTTGCTTTTTAAAGCCCCTGCCAAAGCTCTCCTGAAATGTGTTTGCCATTAAAAAGAGGGGGGAAAGAGTACTGGATGCCTTCAGCCAATATCTAGGTAGACAATTTCCAGACCAATTTGTGATGCATGATTAACAGATCAGAGAGGGATTTTTTTTTCTTCAGAAAAAAAGAGTGTTATCTTTGAAATGTTCCAGAGTGCCTACTTCACCACTTGAGCATCCCTGTTTATAATAGGCAACAAATGTTGCATTTACACAACAGCCTTATGGAGCAAAAGGTCGCCATGTTCAAGTGCAAAACTATCTGAAAATGGCTCTGGTTGCCTGACCAAAAAAAAATGTGCTTTTTCCCCCTAATTAAACTGTTTGGCTCCCTATTGCAGATCCCAATACAAAATAAAGAAATGCCCTGAACATGAAGCAATAGTTTTCAACTGCTTCACTCTGGAGGAACCCTTTATGCATTGCTTTGTTGTCTGCAAAACTGCTGTTGACTGTGCATTGCCCTGTGTGTTGCATAATCTAGATCAGGGCTGCAGAAGCTGTAGCTTCCCATTCTTGTTGAACTCCAGCTTCCATCAGCCTCAGTCAGAATGGCCAGCTAGAATGATGGAAGTTGTATTCCAACAAACCCTACAAGGTTACAAGTTACCCATCCCAACTCTAGGTGGTGACCAAATAGTTATAATAGACTTGGCTAAATACTGCATACAAATTAAGTGTGTGCTCCAGAATACTCTACAACAGGGGTAACCGTAATGGTCCCTCCATGTATTAGAATTCAACTTCCATCAGTCTGCATGGTCAGTGGTCAGGGTTGGTGGGAGCTGGAATTCAAGAGTATCTGGAAAGTGCATTTATGAGTTATCTCTACAATGTGCAGCAGTAGTTTCTGGGACATGTTTTAAAAGAGCATTTTTCCAGTCCATATGGAGTGCCTGGTCCAAGCTATCACTCTGTGCAATTAAACTATGCCCTTAAAATGCACTTTGGAAGGTCAGTAATGTCCTTCAGCCATGTGCAGCCCTCTTGCCAAGGAAACTCTGTTGAGCAGGTTAGAAACCATTCCGCTATAAAGTATTAAGAATGTATTGTTTGTGAAATGGGTTCATCGGGATGTCCTTTCATATAAGCAAACATTGTCCCTTGAAAGCTAGAAGCATCATCTCTTTTAAAATGAAACCTGGGGTTCCCTAAGCAAGCTTTCATTAGAATCATGTGTGCCTTTGCGAATCACCATAGAGCTTCTAAGAGTCCAGTGGTCATACCAGGATCCAGAAGAATACAGAAAGGCATCAGAGCCCAAAAGATCACTGCTACATAAGCCAGGTCCCAGTCTAAACATGAGGTCTTTTGATAGTGTCTTCTGTCTAGGAGGACCCATTGTATAAGGTAAGTGTACAGGGCTAGTATGGATCTGAGGACAATTTACCGTGCAGGAAGACATTCCAAATGGAAGTTCGGGTGGCTCAGTTCAGTTTGCATGAAGCAGTCATGTACTAAGGGTCCCTTGAGTTATTACAGGCATAGGGAGCCTTTGGCCCTCTAGATGTTGCTGAACTATAACTCCCATCATCTCCAATAAACATCTCCAGGGATGATGGGAGCTGTAGTTCAGCAACATCTGGAGGTCCAAAGGTTCCCCACACCTGCTCTATCTCCAGTAGCTCTTAACATCTGGTCACAATAGCGTCATGATGTGTTCTGCTCATGGGCTTCCAAGAGGCATCTGGGAACAACATGGTGGACTAGATAGACCTACTGGTCTAGTCCAGCAGGGCTTTTCTTATGCTCTTATTAATTGCATCTGTGTGACTGAACCATTACAGATCTACCACTGCAATTAGGGCTTTTCTGTCATCTGATGTCACCACAAAGGCAATACTTTCCAAGATAAAGTATTCAGTAGGCAGCCATCATATAAAGTACAATAGGTAAATATAAGCTGGAGCTTGGTCCATAAAGGCAAATGGAGCTCTGCATCCCCAGCAACCACAGTCTGCTCCCAGCCAGCCCCCACCTGACTTCTTTCTTACTTACATCCAGTTCAGGCAATGGCACTGGCTGTTAGCTTCCTCCTCAATTTCAATGTTGCTCTTGTAGACCTCAGCAAGGAGAAGGATAGGGACAAAGCTAAAATTAGTTGGCTCTACCCATGAATGGCTCAGGCTGCATATACTGTGGACTTCTTTGCCTTCCTTTCCACCAGTCCCAATGGACACTAGCCACCACTGTGAGTGAACATCACATTTGGGAACCAGCTTAATCAGGTAGTCCTACAAGTGTTTACTCAGAAGTAAGCCCCTTTGAGTTTAATGACACTTACTCTCAACTAAGTAGGGATTAGGATTGCAGTCTTGGTTACCAATTACTCTTCAATATTTCAGGCACTGTAGAAGAGGAAGGTGGGAAAGCTCTTTTTCATATACCATGGAAGACCTTTTTAAAAAAATGTTTTAAAAATGTAGATCAGATTTATTTATGTTCCAAGACAAGTATTTCTGACATAAAGGGCAGCTTCTGAATGCAGTGGAGTAATGAAGTTTCTTGCAAAGCACAACACGGAACCAGCCTTATTTCCTGCAAATTATAGATTAGAACCTTCCCCTGCCTTTGTAGAAGTCACCATTCCATTTTGGACAGGTTAAGTATAGCGTTAACAAGCTTTTATTTCAGGAACATGAAAGAAGTTTTGCATGGAGTTTTCCCAAAAGGGAAGTAAATAACACCTAAGAATATAGCATGTAATTTCAACGTCAGTGCTGATGTCTATGTATACAGGTCTTAAAACCACCTTTCTTTGGATCTTCTTCTGTTCTCAAAACAGTAGTTAGAGTTCAACGATGTCCAAATATAAGCATACAGAGCTGACAAGGTATCCAACAGAGATGCAGAGAGAAAAGATGCAAGAGTTTAACTGAAGCAACTAGACACTGCAGCACCATACATATGCTCCAACTCTTAAACTGGTTTTACATATTCTCCTGGTTAAACTGGAATTCAGGAGGAGTAGAACATAGCTCATAATGAACCAGAGGAAGAACAGAATAATAAAATGAAAGAAATCCTCTTATCACTACTTCATAATTGAGGCTGAATGTGCAATCAGCCTGGACACTAGGCCTTGTTCACACAAATGTTGCAGTGGGATGATGACACTGGTGGTTGCATAGTACCATCATGACTTGTAGTCCTCAGTTGGCTTTCATGAATTTAACCGTCTTCCTTAAAGTCATTTAAGCCAGGGTTGTTGAACTACAATTCCCATCACCCACATGGTAGCTGTGGATGATAGTCCAGATACCTCTGGAGAGGTACAGGTTCCCCAACCCTGGTCTGAACTAAAGGCTATCACATGTTGTGGAAATAAGTTCCACAGATCAGTTAAATGATGTGAGAGGAAGTGCTTCTCTGTCCTGAATCTCCTGTCAAACAGTTTCATTGCTGGAGGTAGGGGAGCCCTACTAAAGTAATCACTGACTTTATGCCAACCCAAGCACACACTACTTTTCAAACGTGTACTGGAGACTTATCAAGGATCGGTTAACAAGCACAACTGGATCACTTGATTTCACAATCCTTGATGACTGGTACTTGAGGTGATATGAGAAGATACAAGAGTGTTCCCTATGATGTTTTGATCTATGATGAATCACCTTCAAGTTCCCCCCACACTGCAGTCATTACTTGCATACATTCTAAAACTGGTCCTAAGGTTCTCAGTTATTAAGGCTGCATTCCTATACACCAAGGAATTCTGGGAGCTGTAGTTGTTGAAGATTCTTAGAAGACCCCATATTTCCCTTCTAGAGCTACAGTTCTTAGGAGTAGTTTGACATTCAATCCCACTTCCCAGGGAACTATAGCTCTGGGGGGGAAATAGGGGTCCCCTACCTTTTAACAGCTGTCAACACCCTTAACAAACTACAGCTCCCAGAATTCTTTGGGGAAAGCCATGATTGTTCGAAGTGATATCATAGTGCTTTAATAAAAGGTAAAGGGACCCCTGACAGTTAAGCCCAGTCGCGTACAACTCTGGGGTTGTGGCGCTCATCTCACTTTACTGGCCGAGGGAGCTGACGTTTGTCTGCAGACAGTTTTTCTGGGTCATGTGGCCAGTATGACTAAGCCACTTCTGGTGAAACCAGAGCAGCACACGGAAATGCCATTTACCTTCCCACCACAGTGTTACCTATTTATCTACTTGCACTGGTCTGCTTTCAAACTGCTAGATTGGCAGGAGCTGGGACCGAGCAATGGGAGCTCACCCCATCACGGGGATTTGAACCACCGACCTTCTGATCGGCAAGCCCCAGGCTCAGTGGTTTAGACCACTGCATCACCTTTTAATTATATGGTGTGAATTCAGCTATTGAGCTGAGCCTTAAGTTTAATGGAAATAGAACAAAGCAGCATTTGAATGTCAATATATTTATTGATTTTTTTTTACCAGTTGCATTGCTGGGGAAAATAGGTTTTCCTTTTAGAAGCCTTCCTTCAGATTACAGATCCAGCCCCAGAGTTTGTGTATAGAGCTCTTGCCTTCAAAGCACTATCAGACCAGTACCCAATAAATCTTCAAAGCACTCTCAAGAGGCAAGAAAGTTGTTATCAGGACAACTGTGATAAAGAAGGATTAAGGAGATGTCTCAAAGCCAAACAGGAAGCTAGTGTCAGAGATTGGAAAATTATTAGCTGTCATGATGACCTTGCAACTGCCATTCATGCTAGTGCTGTACCAAAAAAAAAAAAATCATCCTGCATTTTATTTTATTTTTTAACCATTCTCCATCAGTTAATGAGAAAAGAAACTGATTTAAACATTGGGAAATAAGAGAGAAAATGTTGATGAAGATTCACTTGGGTGAGGTGCAGCGTTTCTGTTGAGCTTTCCTTACTTTTGCAGTGACCAAGGGACACACAGCACTAATTTGTGCTTTCTCTGCCTCATGCTGACTTGTTGCAATGCATGCTACACATGGTCACCTTTCAAGACCATTTGGAATCTTCTAAGGACACAATTCTTCTCCTTACAGGTGTGAATCTCCAGGAGCGCATTACACCAATGTATCTGAGCCTGTGCTGATTCCCTGTTGCCTTTTTAGCCCAATTCATTGCATATATTTTTACTAATAAAGCCTTCATTGTGTCAGTGGGGATGGCTACATGATCATGCATGTAACTGCAGACCCTCCAAGTATCCCTATTTTCCAAGGACGTCCCCAATTTTCATTGGAGAAATGTTGGAGGGTATGGTGACTGGTACTAACATTAAAAAACTTATGCAGCTCAGGCCCTGGCTACATATATACCAGGTAGGCCATTGTGGTCTGTGGGAGCACTTCTCCATCAAGTTCCAAATACATCAGAAACAGACTCCACAGGAACTCAGAGCAGGGCTTTTTGTGTGACTGCCCCTGATCTGTGGAATTGCATTTCTCTTGAGATATAACAGTTGTCTACTATCTTTACCTTCCGGAAACAACTGAAAGCATTTTGTTTTGTTTCCATGCTGGATGGATAGATCTCTAACATGGGTGTCTCTTTTGTATTTTTTAAAAATTTTATCTGATGATGTGGGTGCAATGGGTAGGTGGGTGGGTTGTTTTTAACTGGGGGGGTAGCCACTTTTATTGGATTTTGTACATCACCTTGATACATGTCTGTGGAAGGTGGTAGACAGATAAATAACTGTTCCATAACTTCTTGTTATTGAGCCCTTTTATCATGAGAACTGTGGATTTTTCTGTGCACTGGCCCAACGTTGCTTAGTGAGCATCATGGCTGAGCAGAAATTTGAACCTGGATCACTCTAAGTCTATGTCCAACACTGTAGTCACTACAGGCTTTTTTGAATGTGTGGAGATGCCCTGGGCATTCTTCTGGAGTGGGTCTTGTAGGTTTCCAAACACAGCTTTGCCAAAAGTCCTGAGTCTGAACTAGAATGGCATTGGGCAGAAGTTTCATTTTTCAGTGATCATGGATTTTAGGGCTGAGCTGGATGAGCACAGATTTCTTTGCTTGATATTGTGGGGGAAAGTGCTTTGGCACTTAGGCCTGGAAGCCCTTCCTCCTAATCCTAGCTTTGTGGTGGCTGGTATCAATTATTCTCTATATCCAATAAATATTTTTTTGGATATGCAAAATATCCAAGAAAAGAGAAAAAAATTAAGTGAAATTCTCATGTGTGGGATGTGGGAGTTTTCTTCCACTTGTCTTACCTTTGAGATAACTGAGGGATGTTTGTGAGTGTCCTTCCTTTCCTTTCATTCCACACATCATCATCTGGTGATCAGCAATATGCAGCTTTTCCAGGTGTCCTAGCTTCCTTAAAAAAAAACAACCATGACATCCTTGACTGGGTGTTCCTGTGTGCACAGAAAGGCAAGGAGGCTGCCCACCATGATGTTGATAGCTGTTCCTTGGCTTCTGCATGGGTTGGTGCATGCATGTGAACTCTTTTTTTCCTCTTCCAGAAGCAAGAGTGGAAAGATTTTGTTTTTAAGGTAAAAGGGAGGACTTTCCTTAAAAACAAAATAAATGGGCGTACCAGTCTCAGGCATTGGGTAAATAACTTTCCAGTTTTCTGAACTTTGATTAAATCACAGGGGAGGTGGTGTCTCCCAAGGGGCTTCTTCTGATCAGGAAGCATGGACAGATGGGGAGAGGGCCTAGTGCTGGAGAAATGTTTAATGGAAAGAGAAACACAGGCACCAATCTTGACCACCTTGCAATGAGAAGGGATGCTTAACCTCATTCTGAATCAATTTTCAATGCCCTGAAAATGAGGCAAATTATATAAAGCTCTTTTGTGGGGGAAGGAAACTGCTGAGAAATAGGAGGACAAGTTTTGGTGTGGCATTATTTTACACGCGTTCAGAAGCAATCCCTTCTGTAGCACTCACTCCTGGGCTAATCGACCACTATGGCAATACTGAAACTCTTGCATCCAAGAATAACTTCTGCTGCAGTAAAAAAAAAAAAAATGGCACAGCCTATCCCCTGATTAAAAGATAAATCAAAATTTGTTAAGAGAGCGGAAGAGTTGGAGGGCTGATTGCTAACACCAGTGGGGAGGGGAAGGGGAGAGAGAAAGATGAAAGGGAAGCCTAATCGGAGACTTTCTTTAAGCTCTGTTGATTACTGAGAAGCTTTTGACATGGCTCTGTTGCAGGCAAACAGGAGTGGCGACCCTCTCTGATATTCTCCAGCTCACCCGGACGACTCCACTGACACGAACAGCTCAGCCCTGCAGAAATAGTGGTGAGTTAGTGCATGTTCCAAGGGAGATAATGGCAAAGTTATTTTGCCTTTGGGCTCAAAGTCTGTATGTGGGGAGTGAGCAGGGGGAGAAAGAGAGTGGGGGAATCCCTTGCAAAATATTATAGAAGGGTTTTCTTTTAAGTCCCTTTTAGCCCTCAGGAGCAGGCAATGTTCAGCCAGGTCTTGTTTCACCAACATAATATCTCTTTATGAATAGCTGGAGGGTTGCTAGCAAGTGTACTCATTTAGCTGTGGAAGGGATGTTTAATAGCCATCAAAACGGCGAACAACTTGACAACTGTTTGATCAACTGAGATGTCACCCGCAGAGATGAAATGACATATCTTCGGGTGATATGTGTCGGTCATTATTGAGTTGACTGTTAGCAGGAGAAGCAAGCTTTTTAAAAAAGCAGTTGTGTCAGACCAGAGCTTGACATTATGGGGGTCTCATGGCTACTGCTGGAAGCAGCAGACCCACATCCCTTTCTCCTCCTCACTTCCCCAGACTCACGATGTTGTCACATCCAAAGTTTCCCTGCCCTCAGTCAATTTCATTGGCTGCCCTTTGCACGGGCAAAGAGTGTTGCCAAGCAGTGATGTCACTGAATGGATAGCACACACTGCAGGGAACAGGAGAGGAGGAGACAGTGTAAGGCTGCCATTTTGGGTGGCAGCTGAGTATCCTTCACAACATCAAGTGTTGCTGCAGCAGCAAGAGTGGCAACAACAAACACAAAATAGGCATGTGTGAAAACCCAACAGATTTATTGTGGCAAGACTTGTTATAGGCATGAGTCTCCTTCAGATGCATGAGCAGTGATCACCCCCACATACACATAGGCCTCATCTGCACTATACGTTTAAAGAAGTATCATGCTACTTTAAACATTCTTGGCTTCCCCCAAAGAATCCCAAGAGCTGTAGTTTGTTAAGAGTGCTAAGACTTGTTAGGAGACTTCCATTCCCCTTGCAGAGGTACAATTCTCAGAATGGTTTAGCAATCACTTCCCATGGAACTCTGAGAATTGTAGCTCTGTGAATGGGAATGCGGGTCTCCAAACAACTCTCACCTCTCTCAACCGACTTCATTTCTCAGGAATCTTTGGGGAAGCCCTGACAGTTTCAAAGGGTGTGTTTCAAATGTATAGTGCAGTTGGTGCCAAGCGCTAGTGTAGTTCAGTGTCGGTTTTAAAAGGACTGCATCATTCTCAGGGCATAGTCTGAAGGTACAGAATGTGTCAATCTTGCTAGGCAGATAGGGGTCTCATCAGTGCTGGAATAGAGGCTGGGTTATTGGCAGAAAGAAAGAGTCAACCTGAATTAAATTGGGCGAGGTGGAATATGGGTTAGCGTTTTGATGACTGAGTCATGTGGATCCTGAAAACACAGCTGCATGGCTGAGGGATAGGAATAGGTGAACCTGTTGACTTTGGTTTTGATCAGTTTCTATTTTTTCCCCTATCTTAAATTCAGTTCTCTACATCACAACATCAATTTGGGGTGGCTATTTCAAAGTCTTCATGAAAATTCATCAGCATTTTAGGGCAGATTTCTCAAAATATGCGCATTTTTACAAGCTGTTTTCCCTAAAATAATGCATTTTGTATCTTATGTTCACTAGTATATGCATTTTTCTGCATACTTTACCCTAGTACAGGCATTTTTGTACACTTTACATTGCTGTAAAACTTCACTTCAAAATTCAGAGTTGTCCAAACTTCAAAGAAGTGTTTCAATTGGTGCAAATTAGCCAGGTTTCCCTTTGAATGCAAACTGAATTTCTCCCCAATCCCACTTGACTTGCAGAAGTATGTTGCAGAGGGTTGGACTAGATGACCCTTGGGACCCCTTCCGATTCTATGATTCTATGAAATTACATCACTGCCACAGGATTTGACTCCTCCCACTGCAAGCCTGGGAGACAACAGGGGAGCATCAAAGACTTGATGGGCATGCAAAAAAAGAGTCTTGAACCTATGCCAAGCAATTTGTTCTGGCTTTAATCAAGATGTCGTCTTTTAACTCCAAATGTCATTCTTCTTATTATTTTTAATCCCGTATCAAAACTTTGAGCAGCATACTGCAGCATGAATAAATGCTACCCGTCATTTAAACTTTCAGCAATGTTTCAAAGCCTTGCAAATGAGTGATAGCCATATATATTTGTATTCATGCATGTGTATATTCATCAAAGTGATGCAGTTAACAAGCTGGTAAAAGACAAAGTGAATAGCAACAAAGAAACTGGTGAATTATAAGTTTTTAACTTTGTAAAAGCTAATGCAGAACAACTTGATTGTTAATTTTGTAGTCTCTTTTTGCCCAAAGAGAACACTCTTTTCTTTCCATCTCTCTCTTTCCTCGCTGTCATCAGCATCCTGCCATTTTGGAATCTTAAATTATTCCCCCTCTAAGAAAAGTGTCATAAGTGATGACACAGAGAATACTCAAATAATCGGCTGAATTACTCAAGCATTAAATATTAGAGCAGGGATGTCCAACCAGTAGACTGCGATCTACCAGTAGATCCCTGGCTGATCCTGGTAGATTGCGGGATCCTTATCGTGTACAAAAAGTTACAGGATGGGGGGGACTAAAAAAAAAAATTCTGTGCAATCCTCCCCCCCCCAAAAAAAGCTCAACAACTCCAGGCACTTCCCTCCTAAAAAAAGCTCAGCCACCCTGGGCAATCCACCCATCCACCCCATGCATGCTCCTCTTCCCTCCAATGACAATAGGTAGATCACTGCCAGTTTTTTAATACTGGGAGTAGATCACAGTCTCTTGGGAGTTGGACATGCCTGTATTAGAGGATAAGAAATCCATGATGCCACCTAATTTCATATTTCCTGTTTTGGAAATGCAAATCTCAGCAGCTGGTAATTATTAGAGATGGATGGACAACTTGAAGCCTGGTCTGTGTCCATTTCTTATTTTGGATGCAAAGGGATCCATTCTGTCCCATTTCAACAGTTAATGTACTGATGGTTTCTCCAACAAGCCACAGATATAATGAAAAATAGGCACTTAAGAGGTGGCCTGAGGATTTAAAACCTTTCTTCCCCTTTCCTTAACAGGGACTAGCTCCTTGGAGTGGCTAAGAAGCATGGTTGTTGCCACTTGGGGTGTAAACAGGACTGCAAATGTCCCTGGAAATGGCAAGATGTGATGACGTCCTGTCTCTTTCAAGGACATTGTATGGAAAAAATGGTTTTTCTTATGGAACCATGGCAGCAGCCATATTTTCTTAACTTCCATGGGTTTTTCCCCCTGATGATATCACCAGGAGCACTAAAGGGGAGACTTGACTCAGAACTGAGTTCACTATAAACCTAGCTATTTTCCTATTTTTTAGGGTGGTGGGAGGTAAATAGCTTGGTTTTCCAAGCCCAGTCATGAGCTTGGCTTTGAGAAGCTTTATGTATAAGGAAGCCTTCTGCAAGATAGTGTTCTCTAGATGTTTTAGACTATGAACCCCAGCAGCCCCAGCCATCACAGCTGTGCTGACAATGGCTGATGGGACATGTAGTCCAAAACAAGCTGTGGGAAGGTTGCTGTACAGGGGATAGGTGTTGACAGCAAGAAATTTCCATGAAGTATTGCCTTTCTGATGCATTCTTCAGATGTAGAATTGAGCATAAATGAGATGCGCAAACCACGTTTTATTGAATGCAAAGAAGAAAAATGAGGCGTACAAGTTCAAACTGAGTGTTGCTGCATCAAATGGCCAGCCACCAACATCGAAAAGGTTAATGGACTGGCAGCAGAACCACCACACATAAGCTGTGTGCACATTACCATTCGCTCGGACTCCAGGCCGCTCCCACCACTGCTGTTTGAAGCCCGCTACACATGAAGTTAGCTGTAATTGACGTGTATCCTGTAGTTTCTTGAGAAATGCTGCTGCTTGATGTGTTTCCCCTCAAACCAGCTTCCATCCGATTTGAAAAGGTAAGCTGTGGTTAAGATGAGGTGTATACATTTGAGATGGCCATAGCGCATGCACAGTAGACAGCACATTTGCAGATTGCAGCTTCATTGAACAAGGTTGTTTTGCTGGGGATTTCAGGCACAGGAGGACAAATGAAGTGAAGACACCCTGTTGTTAGGTGTACACAACAAGTGCAAATGCAACTTAAAACATGATGGGGCGGGGAATGACCTCACTGTGTTTTAAGCCACTAATGTCTCTACAGCCATAGATCTACTTTCAGGCAAAAGGCAAAAAAGTTTCTCGCCTGCATACATGCTGCTCTCCCTGTCCTGGTCCTATGAGCCATTACCCCTCACCTCTGAACGGAGAAAGACTTTACGCAGCGTCATAATTTAGCAAATTACTTCCTCAGAGGAAGGTCAAACATTTTACCATTCGATCAATAGGAAGCGACTTACAAATCATGTGTATCGATCATTGCAATCATTCAGAGGAATGTAGGGCAGACAGTAAAACCGCATGCACTTAGTCTTAATTGCCCACATTAAAGCAATTATACCCCAAAACTGTCATTGTCTAATGCTGTGCACACCACACACTTTAATACATCTTGCTAACTTCTTAGCAATGCAGATAGAATCGTAAGTCAGCCCACCAAGGTTGTAGCACTAAATGCCTAAAATATTGCTAGGACTATGCAAATTGGACCGTGACTTCTTTCACATGGAAAGTGAGCATTTAAAAACACTGATCATGGGGAGGGAGGAGGCATGAAAGAGCAGGTAGGGACACAGATACATTGGGGACGCAAAAACACCCTGAAACAAATACCTCATTTGGTAGTTCAGATCAGGTCTAGAATATTGCCACTCCCAACATATACAGAATAACTGTGTAGTCTGGGCTTTTCTTTATTAGCAGAAGCTAATTTTGGTGGGGGAGAGAGGTAAGTAGCTTGTAGTCGAAGTTCTTGTTTTATTTCATCAGTTGCTTCAGTTAGTCTGCAGATCTTATTCAGGTTGTATGTAATGTTTGTGGCTGGAAAATGCATGTTTGATGCATGTACACAATACAGCCTATAAACAATCTTTGCCTGTTTGTTCTGAGCATAACACATGTAGACGTGATGTGGAACAATGTCCTGGTGAAATGGAGGAAATCTCCTGGAACCAAATAAATGGTGGTCTGAAATAGATGTGAGGGACCTTCGGCCCTCCAGGTGTTGCTGCACTACAACACCCATCAGCCTCAACAAGCATCACCAATAACCACAGGTGATGGGAGTTGTACTTCAGCAACATCTGGAGGGCCAAAAGTTTTGCCACACTTGATCTAAAACATTCTCTGGTTTTCTATGTGGATAATATTGTTGCAGTCTGAAGTGGTAGGCCCCATGGATTGACAACCTCGTGAGAAGCAGGACAAATTCTTAAGGAACATATGTAACTAACTCAAGGATTTGGCCACTGAATGTGGGCTGAAGGAAATGTGTTGGTTAAGGCAGCCCAAAACAAGAGTGATTTATGATTACCACAAATTGATAAGGACTCATATCAATGTGTCGGTAAAACACATTACGTTGTTTTAGCCCCAGGATGGGGAGTCTGTGGTCCTCCAGATCATGCTGGACTATCACCCATCATCCATGAACACTGGCCATGCTGGCTGAGGCTGATGGGAACTGAAGTCCAACAACATCTAGAGGGCCACAGGTTCCTCATCATTGCTTCAGCCAGTACTGCAAATTCAAAACAGTCTCTTGTTTACTGATGCAGGCACTTTAATTTTAATAGTATGTAATATTCCAAAACCAAAGAGAAAGCACAGACCAACTCAAAAGGTTATATATTTTATTGTACTTTTAAAGCATATGGTTTATGGTGAGCATCTCTGTTCGGCTATACACTCCTGAATTCACCACCGATTCTTGCCAGAGGTTTCTGGAGGTTTTCTAGTCTTCAGCATAAGGTGGGCAGCTGATTCATCTAGTCAAAGGAGGAGGATGGGGTGTGTGTGTGTGTTTTCTTGTTTTTGTTTTGCAAGCATCACCTTGGAGTTTATTGTCAGCATTTTTTGCTGTACTGGAATGAAGACCTTTCAAAACTTTCAGACATGCCAACTTGACAGACCAAGCTCTTCCTCCAAGTTTTGCAATGGTTCAACGCCAGGATTAAAATACTTACAACCACAGAAGGGCTCACTTCTTCTTCTCCAGATCAGTGTATGAGAGGAGTGTATGAGAAGAGAGGAGACTGACTCTGTCTCCGGTTGGTCACACTACCTTTAAAAAGATGACTTGGGAGTGAGGGATTCCGGCCAACCACTTGCTGGTTCAGTGCTCAGTGCCTTGTGCAGCTGGGTGTCCACCTAAAAAAGGGACATTCTTTGACAAATTAATGAAGCAAAGTTTCCTGGAGATAATGGAAAGGGCATCCCATGACAGTATCGCCTGAGGCGTTATGACAATGGACCTCAGAAAGATTGGATCTGCCAATCATCTCCAGCCATTCTCCCATGTCCTTAGAGACTTCCTCCCCTTGGAGAGTAGGCTTCCAATCCCATTGTTCTCCTTTATGCCAGGGTCAACATCAGGGGTCAATGTTGCCAGGTAGCTGCCAAACCTAAAGGGAGCACTGTCCCCAACCTCACCCCACCCTGAGTTGTAACTCTTCATCCCTGCTGTCATTCCTGATTCCTTCTTCCTCAACAAGAGAATAAACGGTTTCAGGAAAAAGAAGAATGGAGCAGCGATTTCTGCTCACCGTCCCAGGGAAGGCTGGTTCCCTAGGGGGGATGGGACACTGCTCCATAGTAATCTCAGTCCGCCCTCATCCAGCCCTCGCGTTTCTCTCTTCTTATATACAACCAGTCCAGAGGGTGGCTCTGGTTGTCAGATTCCTCCTCCTCAGTCTCTGTGTTGTCCTTGCAGAACTCCACAGAGAGGAGAACAAGAACAAAATTAGAATTAGTTGGCTCTTCTGGTCTTGACTCTGGCTCCACCTACTGTTGGCCTCCTGCCTTATGCCCTACCAGTTCCAACAAACATCAGGCACCACTGCACTGCTCCCTCTACTTCCAGGCAATGGTGTGAATTGGGTAAGTGACTGGGTGTGATGTGGTGTGGCTAAGTGAATAGGTAGCACATGAAAAGCAAGAGTTGGGGCTGCAACCTAGTGTAGCCTTGTTGGCTGATATGAAATACTCATTGGGAAAACAGGACTTTGGTCACATACTCCTATCCCTTGGTGCTTTGTTACATCTGCCTTCAGGTCTGCGTCA